TTCCCTTCCCTTCCCTTCCCTTCCCTTCCCTTCCCTTCCCTTCCCTTTTTTTCTTTCATTTCTATTCCTTTCTTTTCTTTCTTTCCACTGAGCAACTGAATGATGGTACTGATGTAAGAGGACTTCTTAAATATACAAACCTGTCTACAATCACAGGTGCTTGAGTGGATGCTTTTGCTATTTCTGAAGCAAGGATGTAGTTGCCCGCAGCATAAAAGGCCCTTCTAATGGGTGTTGGCTCTTCATCAAATATTGTCCTCCACTGGCTGATGCAAGCTGGCGGAGACCTTAACAGAACAGCACCCAGGGCATCTTTAACTGACTGTGTTACTGTGCTTTTGCCTGCATTTCATTTACAAAAGGAAACAGTAGTTATATATCACTTCAGATACAGCTGAATTTTAATAACTGAAAAGTGCTTTTATTTTTCTATTTGGAGTACATGTTCTGACACCAGTGCAGCCTGATTACCTTGTGATAAGGCTTTCGGTGGAAAGTGTTTGTGAGCTTGACTCAAAGGGTATTAATTACTCCACTTTCAGCTCTCTGGACCTCCTCTTTCCTTCCAGCAGTTCTCTAGATTCACTCCTTTAAATGCATTTTGAATGCCAATTTCTCTACATATCCATTTACAGTATTTTTCTATGTGACAATCTGTGTGGGTGCTATCAACCAATACTTGCTTTTTAGAAGCAATTTTCAGTTCTATTTGACAAAAATACAGAAAACAAAGTTATTCAGAAGCAACGCATTCTTCTCCCTGAGACAAACTGTTGCCAGCTTCCCAGCCCACCACTACTTTAGCTCCAGTAGTTGAGTTTACTTGTCAACAAAAATACGCTTCATAATCTGCACAAGAACTACGATTTCCAGCACACCACACTTTGTGTTTCTTCATTTACACAGACAAAGAATTCAACCATAGAGTGAAAAGCAGCAAATGAGAGAAGGTAGACTGGTATTTATAATGGCTAATTATTCATGTCTTAAGTCTAATTTTCTGAATTTTTGAGTTTTCGAATTTTTGAATATAGTTTTTTTTTTTTTTTTTTTTTATGACATTTTAAGCCTTAGGTGTGTCTTAAATCCATGGTGGTTACTCTTCCCAACAACCCTTACTGCACCACGCTCTTACCTGTGGCATCCAGCCCCTCAAACACCACGACTGGAAACTCTCCCTTCCGCTGACGCTCGGGGCACTTCTCCAGGATGTCCAGCACCTCTCCGGCCTCCGGGATCCGCGCCGCGCACTGCGGGAGAGAGTTAAACCTTCGTTCCTGCTTGCCAACCACACGGAACGGAGCGCCCCGCGGCCCCCTGTGCGCTCACCTCCCGCAGGCGGAGGCGGACGACGGAGGCGGCAGCAGGCAGGGCGCGGCGGAGTGGCCCGGGAGGTCCCGCGGTGCAGCCCCGCAGCATCGCCGCCCGCTGCCTCTGCCGCACTGGGGCCAGGCGAGGAAAGGGGCGGGCGGTGGCGGAGCCGGCGAGAAACGAAAGTGACTCGTGTCTGTGAGGAAAAGCCAGGGCTGTGTCACTGGGGGAAAGGTTTTCTGCTACGCCTCTCCTCATTTGGTGGATCACAGGAGCGCTCCCCGCGGGAAATCGCTCCGTGCAGGCTGGGCGTGCCTGGGGTGGAAGTGAAAGTGAAAGGAAGATAGAGACAGATGGTTTTTTTATTTATGTTTCTGATCTCCTCTTTCTGATGACCGGCGATAAACCCGAGGGAACAGCATGGAGTTGTGTTAGGAGAAGGTCAGGGTAGGGGTTAGGAACAGGCTGTGCACCAGAGGGCGGTGGGCATAGAACAGGCTGTTCAGGTCAGTGAGCACGGCCCCTAGCGTTTGGACACTGCCCTCCGGCGTAGAGTTGGATTTTGAGTGCTCTGGTGTGGAGCCAGGAGTTTGACTTAATGATCCTTGTGGGTCCCTTCCAACTCAGGACTGTATGATCACACAGTTCTTTACTGCTGCTGTGACTGACGCTGTCCAAAATGTAGATTTTGTGTTTTTTTGAAATATTTATCTTATAAAACAGGAGAACCTGCAGCAGTCCCATTTTGCCCTTTAAATAGCTGGAAAACTGCACGTTGGAGATACCCAAGTTAATTTCTGAATATCACAGAATCCTAGAATAGAATCATTATGGCTGGAAAAGATGTCTAAGATCATCTAATTCCACTGTCAACTCACCTCCGCCATGCCCACTAACCGTGTCTCTCATGTGCCACATCTCCACATTTCTTGAGCATCTTCAGGGATGGTAACTCCACTGCTCCCTGGGCAGCCTGTGCCAATGCCTCACCATTCTTTCTGAGAAGAAATATTTCCTGATATCTAAACTGGACCTTCCCTGGCACAACTTGAGGCCATTCTCTCTCATCCTGTCACTTGTATGTGGGAAAAGAGGCTGACCCCCCACCTCACCACAGCCTCCTTTCAGGTAGTTGTGGAGAGTGTTAAAGTCTCCCGAGTCTCCTCTTCTCCACACTGAACAATCCATGTTCCTTCAGCCACTCCCCATAAGACTTGTGCCCCAGACCCCTCACAGCTTTGTTGCCCTTCTCTGGATACACTCCAGGGCCTCGATGTCTTGAATACAAAAGAGAGTACACTCTGCTAAACTTCTTTCAGTAAGTGCTCTCTACTTATAAAATAGCTGACTCTGGTAAATAACCGTTCAACACTCAGCTTGTTTACCACCTTCACGATTTTGTAAAGCTGGCTTAGATTTCCCCTCAAGGTCTGTCATGTAGAAGTGAGAGCCCTTCCTGCTGCTCAGTCCCCTTGCTGATTTGATTCCAAGGACAACTTTAACACCACAGAATCACAGAATTGTAGGGGTTGGAAGGGACCTCCAGAGATCATCGAGTCCAACCCCCCTGCCAAAGCAGGTTCCTTACACCAGGTCGCACAGGTAGGCATCCAGGCAGGTCTTGAACGTCTCCAGAGAAGGAGACTCCACCATCTCCCTGGGCAGCCTGTTCCAGTGCTCACTGTAAAAAAGTTCCTTTGCACATTTGTGCAGAACTTCCTATGCAGCAGTTTCCGGCCATTTCCCCTTGTCCTGTCTCCACTCACCACTGAAAAGAGTCCGGCCTCGCCATTCTGCCCCCCACACCTTAGATATTTATAGACCTGGATCAGGTCCCCTCTCAGTCTCCTTTTCTCAAGGCTGAACAGACCCAGTTCACTCAGCCTTTCCTCATAGGGGAGATGCTCCAGGCCCTTCACCATCTTTGTGGCCCTCCGCTGGACTCTTTCCAAGAGAGGAAGAGATCCTTCCAAGAGATCCAAGAGATCCTGCTAAGATGCGGGGACCAGAACTGTACCACTTCTCAAAGTATAGCTCTATGTTCCCAGTTTGCACAGAACAGCAAATTAATGCCACCTCTCTTATTCTCAGTGCTTGGTACTGTTTTTGTTGACTTTTTTTTTTTTTTTTTTTTTTTTTTGGCTGATACAGAGCCAATGGTTTCAGGAAGGTAGCTGCACTCTGAGATGTCTTTCCTGAGACAACTGAAGTGCAACTACTGAACTCATCATTATGAAAATGTGGCTTTGATTATTTTTTCATATGTGCACAGTGTTACATTTCCCTACACTGAAGCTGCTACATTTTTGTTAATTCATCTCTTTGACTCACAGTCAAGTCTTGCTTGAAAACTGACCTGGTTCCTCATTGACTTCTCTGGTTCCTTGCTTATCTGTTTTCCTTATTTCCTGATGGCACTGCTGCCTTTCCCTGATGACTGAATGTTTACTTTCATTTTCCATTTTCCATTTTCCCCACCCACCACACTGATCTCACCCTGTTTACAAGCATTCCAGAGCCAAGCAGCCAGTGCTTCTTTTTCTTTTAATAGTATGTTTAAGAGATCACTTTTGTGTGTGGCTTTCTGTTCTCCTGGCTAACTACTTAAAACTATATTTGTGCAAGATTTCAGGTGCTTCACAACAAATTATACAGGAATAGCCGGGTAAAAACAGAGGAGAATGGAATTGCCTTTTTTTCTCCAAGGCAGATCTTTGTGTTTAGAATCAATGTAGAGAATATAAATCTGTTTTGAAATTAACATACATTGAGCATTTTTTCACTTTCTTCAACTGTACTATTATCATTCTGTCTTTTGTACAACAGGAAAATGATGTTGAAGAGCAAATGTGCTAACTATGTGAAAAGCACTGTTCTCCTGGAATATTATTTTAAAGTTCTACTTTTCTATCAAAAAGGGTGCACAGCAGTAATAGCCACGTATATCCTGCTGGATTCTTTTATGCCAGTCATGAATCACAGAATCACAGAATGGCCAGGGTTGGAAGGGACATCAAGGATCATGAATCTCCAACCCCCCTGCCACAGGCAGGGCCACCAACCTCCCCATTTAATACTAGACCAGGGTGCCCAGGGCCCCATCCAACCTGGCTCTGAACACCTCCAGGGACAGGGTATCCACAACCTCTCTGGGCAGCCTGTTCCAGCACCTCACCACTGTCTCTGTAAAGGACTTCCCCTTGACTTCTAACCTCAATCTTCCCTCCCTCAACTTAAAACCATTTCCCATCACTGTGTGCCATCCAGTTTGCCATTAACAGCAGCATTCAAACATTTCTGAAAACTTATGTGTATGTTGAAAATATTTTTGATGCATATCTGATGAACTGAAATGCACTGAGTTCTGGGATGCCATTCTCAGACTGCAGGAGTCCTATCAGGAACAGAGACAGAAAGTCAGATCTCCTGCCACTTAAAGAGACCACTGTGCTTTTCCAAACCTCTTCTTGAAGGCTATAGGCCAGAAAATCAGTCACTGCTTTCAACATTTACTGTAGATTGCTAGTTCTTGTACATCCTCAGAGGACACATCCAGGTCTGTGTTTACATTGCAGTAACAATCAGGCATAGGTTTTGCACATAATGCAGAGAACAACATCTGAAAACAGTTGAGGCAAAAATTAGAGAGAGATTTCGTAATTGCCATTTCCTAAGAAAGCTCAGACAAAATTATGAAGAACAGAAAGTCTTGAGTAAACTTCAGTGTTAAGTTCTCTGTACATTTTTTTTCCTCTGGAAATACAGATCCTCTCTTTCAAAAAGGAACACCGTTCAAAAATGCTCATGTTTTATTTTACTGATACTATTCAGGCATACTCTCAGAGTCTTTTTGCATCAGATGTAAATCTTGTGTTGAGATAAATCAGTAGTAATTAAAAATTTCAATTGATTTTGAAAATTACATATTTTGGAACATATCCACCATATGAGACGCACTAGTGGAAGTCTTTAAGATCTTGTGCCTACCTACCACAAGCATTCTCAGTAAAAGATCACAGAATCATAGAATGGCTTGGGTTGGAAAGGACCTCAAAGATCATTCAATTCCAATCCCCCTGCTGTGGACTGGTTACCTCCCACCAGAGAGTCCCACCCAATCCGGCCTTGAGTGTATCCAGGGATGAGACACTCACAGCTCTCTGGGCAGATGTGTCAGGGCCTCACTGCCCTCTGAGTGAAAAATTTCCCCTGAAATAGACACCATCATACGGATGTCTTTTGTCTGGTCCCTGATTTTTACCCACATCTGATGTTCAACTCAAGGAAGGGAAAAAACTGTATTCCCTGTGGTTGCATTGGCTGAATGTGATATAAGTTAGAAATTAGGTGAGAAAGTAATATGAATTGGGGTAGAGAAGATACAATGTGAGAAAGTTTCTAACATGAAGCAGAGGGGATTATGTAAGAGAGGGAAGAACTGAGGATACCAGGAAAGCCTGCTTTCATCCTTAATCTTGTGTCTTACACAAACCTGAAGGAATTGGAAGGGCACATGGATCACATCTCATGTGGACAACTCATTGAAATGGCCTCTGTTGATAAACTCCAAGACAATTTTGGAAACCCTCAGGAGCTGAGATATTTCCTGTCATACAGCAACAACCCATTTGTAAGGTGGTGTTATGAAGGCCAGACCCAGCAGGGAGGCTCTCTTCCCACCCTGCTGACATGGACCCAGCAGGCTGATAGGGAACCTGTACACTGGCTTAAGGGGAAAGCTGAAGACTGGTCTGTTATGGTCCAGCCATTAGTGGACCAGGTCAGCTAAAGGAGAGTAGCAGTTTGGAAAGCAAATAGTATCCTGGGCTCCATCAGAAGAGGGTGGCCAGCAGGGAGAGGGAGGTGATTGTCCCTCTATACTCTGCCCTTGTGAGGCCCCATCTGGAGTACTATGTCCAGGTCTGGGCTCCCCAGTACAAGAAAGACAAGGAGCTGTTGGAGGGGGTCCAGAGGAGAGCCACAGAGATGATCAGAGGACTGGAGCACCTCTCCTACCAAGACAGGCTGATGGAGCTGGGCTTGTTCAGCCTAGAGAAGAGGAGGCTGTAGGGTGACCTCAGTACAGCCTTCCAGTAACTAAAGGGAGACTATAAACAAGACAGGAGTCAACTCTTTACAAGGGTAGATAATGGCAGGACAAGGGGAAATGGTTTTAAGCTGAAGGAGGGAAGATTGAGGTTGGATGTCAGGGGGACGTTCTTTACAGAGAGAGTGGTGAGGTGCTGGAACAGGCTGCCCAGAGAGGTTGTGGATACCCTGTCCCTGGAGGTGTTCAAAGCCAGGTTGGATGGGGCCCTGATGGTCTAGTATGGAATGTGGAGGTTGATAGTCCCGCCTGTGGCAGGGGGGTTGGAGATTCATGATTCTTGAGGTCCCTTCCAACCCGGGCCATGCTGTGATTCTTTGATTCTGTGAATGAATTGTAGCATCATAGAATAGTTTGAGTCAGAAGGGACCTTAAGATCATCTAGTTCTTAACCCATGCAGTGGACAGAGTTGCCTGCCACAAAATGGATGACCCCATCCAACCTGGCCTTGAACATCTCCAGGGATGGGGCATCCACAGCTGCTCTGTGCCAGGGCCTCACCATGCTCAGTAGAACACAAGCTCAGCTGTCATCTTGCCTTGCCCTTTATCACTGCGAGAACTGAAGCCACGGAGCCCACACCCAGTAGGAATCTTCAGGTGCTGGAAGCGCCCGGCCCTACGGAGACGCCAACGGCCACACCGCGGGCTCGAGAGGAGCGGGCTCGGAGCCAAATTTCTTCTCATCGAGAAAGGAAAGCGAAACTCGGCGCTTCTCCGTGCCGTGCCGTGCGGTGCCGTGCCGCGGCGGGCGGGGCGGGCTGTGCCGCCGCTCTTTTA